ACATACTGTGAGAGCCTACGCATCTTGTTTCTGAGAATGAAAAGATGAAATGACGTTTTAAACAACTTGATTCAGCTAGAATCAAAGTCAGGCTTTTAAAATACACAACACAGTCATTCAACAATTTGCCTAACAAAATGAGTTCATTATGTCTGTACACAAATATATATGTACAACCCAGTGGTTTCTAGTATATTTGCAAAATCATACAATCATCGCCACTATCTAATTCCAGACCATTTTCAGCATCCCAGAAAGAGACCCCATGGCCATTAGCCGTCATTCCCTCTCCCCTCTGCCCAGACCTTGGCAACAACTAACCGATTTTCTGTCTCTATACATTTCCCTGTTCTGGACATTTCATATCCATGGAATCCTACAATATGTGGTCCTTTGTGACTGGCTTCTTTTCTTTAGCACCATCGAAGTCTGTATCAGAACTTCATTCTTTTTATGGCCAAATAATTTCCCCTTTGATGGACAGACCACATTTCCCCTTGTATGGCTAAACCACATTTTATTTATCCTTTATCGGCTGATGGACATCTGGATTGTTTCCACCTTTTGGCTATGATCATTCAAGCACAAATTTTTGTGTGAACGTAGGCGTTCATTTCTCTTGGGTGTCTACCTAGTAGTGGAATTGCTGGTAAACCCTATGTTTACCTTTTCAGAAACCACCAGACTGTTTCCCAAAGCAGCTGCGCCATGTTCCATTCCCACCAGGAGGCTACACTTTTAATGTGGATTTACGGATGTGGATTCTTCTCTCTCTGATTCCTGCCAGGCTGATTTGGCAGAAATGCCAGGAAGGCTGGGGAGGAGCGTGCAAGGGGAGAGCAGCGGGGCTGAGGCATGGAGGGCAAGGTCTTGGGAGGCTTGACCTCAACCTGTGGGGCACGTCACTTCCTCTCTGTAACTCTCAGCGGCCTTACCTATAAAATGAAGATGTTGTTGACCAGTGAGTCTCAGTTAGGGATATCTGGCAAAGGCTGGAGACATTTTGGGGGTTACAGTGGGGTGGGTGATGCATCTGGCATCTAGTGGGTAGAGGTCAAGGATGCTACAATATGCTACAATGCGCAGGTCAGCCCCCCAAAGAATGACCTGTCAACAGCACCAAGGTTGAAAACTTTGCATTAGATTGAGGTGACCCCACGGTGGCCACTTTGAGGAACGACCACACTGCTTTCCAAAAACAGATGTGCCATCTTATAATCCCCCCAGCGACATGCAAGGGTCCCCGTTTCTCCACATCTTCGCCAACACACATACTTTGACCAGCCTAACAGGAGTGTAAAGGGCTTTTTTCAAAAGTCTGTTCTATTCACGATGTCCAGGACTCTTTACAGAATGCCGGTGCCATGAAGGACAAGATCAGTCATTTCCTTACCTGGTGCCTATAATTATACCAGCCGTTTGAACCTGCGACGATGACCACCCAGTGCTTGCCTCCGTCCTCAGGATCATCGATGGGGACAGCACCGATCCCCAGGACCAAGCTGAGCAACACAGCTCCTTCCCAAATCATTCTGCACCGCAGAGTTCAACTGCAGAAACCTGAGGAGAGAACGGCAGAGTCAAGCCAAAAAGGAAGGACATGAACAGAAGAATATTGTTGGCCCCTAAGAAAATATCACAGTAAATAGGTAAAAAAGATAAGACCATTTAGTCATCAGGGAGAACATGCTGAGGATATAAAAATGCTGACAGAGTGGAATTTTCTTTTCAACTCTGCTGCCTCTTTCCCCAGATGGAGAGAGTTCTTTGGGGGAAACTTTCAAAGTTTTTGTCACAACTTAGACTGCAGCAGATAAAATTCACCAACAAAATTCACCGTATTGGAAAAATGTCTACCTATCCTATGCACTGTTTGCAAGAAAAGAATATATTTGTAATGTACGCACAGAAAAATGTGGAGGGCAGACATAAAAGGTAATAACGACAGTTACTGCTGGGAGGCAGGTAGAATTAAGGATGATTTTCTTATTTGTCTCTTTTCCTACAATTAATATATATTACTTATACAATTAAATGTGTCAAAATTCAATACATGTTCCATGTAAACACTGAGGGGCAATTTATGAGTTTGTGCGCAAGCTATGTGGATAAGCAACAGTCAGACACTGGCAGCCCAAATTAATGTCTTTGACTAACACAACCCATTAACATGTATTCTGTGCAACAGGCAGGGAAAATGTTTTAATCCTTGTTTTATAGGAAGGGGAGGGTGAAGCAAGAGAGAAGGGACTTGCCCAAACCCCTCCACAGTCAGCTCTGGCTTTCCTGCTGCTGCATGGTTTTGCAGCCCAAGACTATTCTTCAAAGGACACGCCCAATTTTATACTCTGTTGCCAAAACTTTATATACAGTTTTAAAGCACCAAAGGCAGGACTAAGGCTGAGTCCTGGCCACTGTGCATGACCCAGATCAGACCCTGCCCTGTGTCCCAAATATGTCATTCTAAAAAAACCAGCCTTCCTGAGACAGAAGCCAGGCCTGTCCACTTTTAGATAAAAGGAACTCAACTGTCTGAGATGTAGGAACACAGAGCAGAACAGCCTGCAGGGCTGACCTCAACCTCCAATGCTATTTAACAGTGTTCATTCACTCATTCCCTCTTTCATTCACTCACTCATTCATTCACCCACCCGCCAGACCCCATGCTGGGTGTCAGGGAGGCAGTAAGGACAGGGCAAAGCCTCTGTCCTTGCAGAGCACACAGCCAGCTAGGGCACGAACCACGTCTACGCCTAAGAAACCACCCCCTACACTATGTACCCAGCACTGGGATACAATTCAAAATGGTGGCTTTGCCCCCACAAGTGCAGAAAACAGGAAACCTCGAGTCTGCTAAATGTTTAAAAACCTAGCGCCTTAGCCCAGTGCTTCTCCAACTTGACTGTGCACCAGATCTCCCGGGGGTCTTGTTGACATGCAGATTTTGACTCGGTGGGCCTGGGCAGGGCCTGAGACCCTGCATTTCTGACAAGCTCCGGGGGATGGCCAGATCTAATGCAGCAGGCAGGCCAATTTCCTAACCCTGGCGGCCTCCAGTCCACGCCTGCCCCGAAGCCCAGCATCCCAACGCTGCTCTACCCCACGATGTCTCCTCCCAAGAACTCAATTCCTAATCTGTAAACTGACTTGGGGCCAGAGTCAGGGTTCTTAAGCTTCACTGCAAGGTCCATGGATGGATGGGTCGCTACAGTAAGGCGTCCCACACTTGTTTTTAAGATTATCCTTATTAAACGGCCAAGTGTTTTCATTTGTCTGGTTTTTATTTTTCAGTATGGTACATTACAGACACCAGGGAACAGACAGGTGAGGGCAGCAGAACACGGCCAGAACCACTCTGGTCTGTTACTGTGTTAACGTCCACCTGAGGAAGCTCTCCCATGTCCACTAGACCTGACCAGGGTTCACCGCGGAGCTGGCAGGTAACAGTATAAGGTGCAATTATACAAACGTAAGAAGCAGCAACAATGAGGTCAGGCAAGAGAGCCAAGGAGGGGCCAGCCGAGTGGCTCGTTGGTTAAGATTTGGCTTGGGATGCCAGCTCAGAGCAGCAGGGCCCCGGTTCAGATCCCACATGGTCCAGTGACGCTGCGCCCTCTCCAGCTAAGATGGTGAACAACAGTTCAACCTAGAGCTGGGCTGCCGTGAGTCACTGGCGACAGCCTAGGCTGCAGCGGGGCTGCTGTGAGCTGCTGTAAGCTACGTGAGTGGCTGGCAGCGGCTGTCCAATGGCCGGTGACCGATCTGCCTCAGCCAGGAAGAGTGCAATGATCACAATACCAACATGGGCCAGTGAAGTGACTGGGAGAAATTTAAGGCAGGGGAGGAAGTCCCAGCAGGAGTGTGGGGTATCATTTTCAAAAGGGGAAGATTTTAAGGACGCCTGTCCGTTTGTAACAGCAAAACACTGGAAGCAGCATAAATGGTCATCTACAGGGACTGTGTAGTTAAGTCTTTATGGTACATCCTTATAATNGTGTTGGTGAGGATGTGGAGAAACTAGAACCTCCATTCACTGTTTGAGGGAATGCAAAATGGTGCAGCCACTTTGGAAAACACTTTAACAGTTTGTTAAAAAGTTAAACATAAAATTTACCATATGACCCAGCAATTCTATTGTAACGTATCTGCCCAAGAGAAACAAAAACACTTATCCATGCAAAGACTTGTATTCTTAGCAGCACTGTTCATAACAGGCAAAAAATGGAAACAACCCAAATGTCCAGCAACCGGTAAATGGACTGATAAAATGTAGTCTGTGCATACAATTTAAGACTCTGGCAATTAAAAGGAATAAAGGACTGACACATGCTACAACAACAGATAAGCCTCAAAAACATTACGCTAACAGAAGACCTAAAAAACCATGTTGTATGGCTCCATGTATATGAAATGTTCAGAAATGGCAGATGTATAGAGACAGAAAGTGTATTAGTGGTTGCCTGGGGCTGGGGACTGCAAATGGGCCCGGGGGGGTCTTACTAGGGAGACAGACATGTTCAAAACTGACTTATGGTGATATCTGCACAACTTACTAAGAAACCATGGAGTTGTACACTTGAAATGAGTGAATTAAGGGCCGGCCGAGTGGCTCAGTTGGTTAAGAGCTCGCTCAAGAGTGTGAGCTCTGAGCAACCGCGGTTCGATTCCTGGCCTGAGCTGGCAACAGGTGGCAGGATGGCTCAGCTAAAAAAATATATAATAAATAAATGGGTGAATTACATATGGTATGCAAAATATGCTTCAATAAAATTATATTTTAGAAAGGGCAGGCTCAGCGTGTCCCGTTAGCGCTAGCCTACGCTGTTGGGCCCGCTCACTACCACCCTGACAGGCACGTGCTTTCTCCCCATTTCACAGACGGGGACAGGCTGAGAAAGGGCTCAGCACTTCATCACGCCTCATGCGCTCTTCCACGCGCACCGGTCTCAAAGGCACGCCGTGGTTCTCTCCAGG